AAAAACTACAGTATAAAAACTGTACTACTCTCGTGATCATTTCATTAATCATTAGGAAGGAAGATGTTTCATAACTAAGTTACAGAGAATTCAGCACCAGTATTTAACTAGAGAAAAACTTGTTGTTGGAAATGTTTTATGAATGCAGTCATTAAATCTGGGTCTGTATCTTCTAGAGCTAACCTAGGAGGTAAGGATATAAATGTTTCTAGTTTTTCGTTTTATATGAGTAAAGTTGAATCTGTTTGCATATAAATCTTTCATTTTAGCTATTACTAACAAAGTGATTAAAATAGTTTAAATTTGGCGGGATTAACTATTTTCCCTCTGAATTATCTACTTTGAAGTTCAAAACATGACAATTGACTGCATTTTCCTCTGTTCTTTATCTTTTTCTTCCATATTGAAATATGATTTTCTCCAAAGGAATCATTTGTTTCTGTACACAGAAGGTGGGTTGGTAACTGTCAGGGTACTGCTCTTGACTTTTATAAAGCTGGTTCTACTGGACGTCACTCTGCTCAGTGACAGGTGGAGAATGATCAAAACCCTTTGCTCCTCTTCTCTGCTAACCTGGTGGAGTCCAGAACCTCATTCTATCTTGTTCGATTTAGCCTTATGAGGTATTGTGAAAAGCAGAAAACAAAGCATGCTTTTGGAAATGTATTTTAAACGAAGAAGACTTGAACAGGGAATTTTTCTGGTTTTGTGAACATTTTGTGCATTTCAGAGATTAGCAAATATAATTCATATTTCTACCTCAGGAGATGGAACATTCTAATGTATTTTAAAATCTTTTCAGAAAGGAAACCATTAAAGGGTAGCAAACATTGCTGTGTAATCCTACAGACATTTACCTTATTATTGGTGAAGTATATTTAACCTGTTTCAAATAAAATGTAGAGCCTTTAATAAGGTCTCTTTTCAGAGAGAATGAAATACTAAGTTAGAATTATAAATGACTGTCTGCATCATTATATTGTAATTTAGGATTCACCCAATGATGTAACAAAATTAACAACATAATTTCATTGTGAAACTGTATCTTATTAAAGAACAACTGTCTGACATTCTCTTACAGTTGCTTTATTTAACTTCATGCAAATATTATTAGTAGTGACATTTTTCTATTGTGCATTAGGTTCTCTCATTAGCATGATGTGTTAGTTCTCACCAGAGAAATCATTTCCTAGATAGGTGAGGGGCAAACCAAGAAAGCTAAAAATTAAATCAACGAATTACATTAATACCAGAATGTCTGCTCACCAGAGATATGGCGTAGTAAAGCAAACTTTCTTCCTAACGTAAAATCTAGCACATTTCATAGAAATGATAAATAAAATATATTGTGTGAGATCTATAATAACATTGCTCGAGTCCATTCAGAAACACATTTGCTATGAGTTCTGCTGCCCCCATGTAATGTAGTCTTTTAGTCCTTCCTATTCATATAGGCACATACAGTCTCAGATTGTTGAGTTTACATTTTAAATGGAAATGATGGCTTTGCCTGATTTTCTATCCCCCTAAAATTGTTTGAATGTTTATTCACTAGTGATTTAAAAGACACATACGCAGCTTTTCTCACAAGTCAGATGCTTAATTATATATTGTGGCTTGATTCTTTGTTATAGATCACAGACAACATTTTTATTCTAAACCCTTTGCTATTCAAGTAAACACCCGTTGTAACATAGGATGTATATTCTTATTGAATCAGAGCTCCAGTAAAGCAGTTTATAGTTAATGGTCTTTGAAAATGACTTACTGTGTCAGGCATTCTCCATCCCTGGCTGTCTACCTGCATTCTTCTCACCTCCCCTTTTATTCCCCTCCTTAGAGTTGGTGTGGTTTGGTAATCATGACTTACTTACAAAGGATCATATTGACCGAACTTATGGTCCTGATTTAAAAATATGGTAATAAGAGGCCTGTAATAATAGCCTGTTGAATTACTAAACTACTACCTCGAACTGTTTTTGTTTTTTTTTTAAACCTCCTCTAGTTTTGAGTAATAGCATGCTTTATGTTTTAACTATGGATGTATATTCAAATAGGATTCTTAATGTTCAGCCTGCTCATGTAAACGCTAAAATAGGGAGTATTTGGGTAATACTTAAAATATAAATTGTAGTTTATGTCCAGGTGTTTATGTGTTGGCCTATA